CTTCTGTTTATTAGCTTGTGAACAAGACAGGTACTAGAGCCCTGCATGGGTCCCACCTCTCACCTGGATGCCCTGGAGCAGTTCCCGCATGATGGGTTGGATCTGGAGGTGAGGGGAATGGGTGAAGGGTCATTCTAAAGCTCTGCAACCCACTGTCAGAGTCTGGTGCTTGCTCTGTGGCCTTCACAGTATTGCCTGGCTGGTTTTGGCCTCTCTCTCAGAGCTGCCTTGTTGGATAGAGATGGCACCTGGGTGTTCAGGGGGAGGCATGTCCAGGAGCAGCCTCCTGCAGGTTCTCTGTTCTGTGGCCGTCCTTCCCCTGCAGCTTCCTTGTGTTCATCTTCCTGCCCAGAGAGCTCCCTTGGCTCCAGCCACCTCCTTCCGTGTCCAAGGATAGCAGGGGAGTCAGACTCTAGAACCTTCTTGGCTCTGCTTCCATCTGAGCTACAACTAGCAGGAGGTGCCTTCACTTTGTGGCAGACACTTCCCAGCGGTTCTCAACCTGTGGGTCAAGACGCCTTTGTAACAGTGAAAATACATCATGGCATTAGGAAGGTTGAGAACCACTGCTCTAGACCCTTTGAGATTTCCAGGGTTGCTGACAATGGTCCCTTGCCCCACCAATCTTATAACCCTTGGTGGTTTCACGTGGCTTCAAGTGAGGAGATGATGGAGGGGGTGCTGATTTATAAAATGCCGACTCCCAGGGCTGCCACCCTTTCAGTCGGATCCATTTTCACCCGAGCCCCCTGTGCAGGTAGTGATTAGGGATGCTTTGTCTGCCTTCTGGTGAGGCCCTTAGCACCCAGCTGTCTACCAAATCCATGGCAGGTAGGAGCTCCATAAATAAGAACACCAGTGACGTGATGAAGTGACACAAGTGTGATTGATCCCGACTACTGCAGTTTGTTCAGTTAACTACGCGGAAAGATTCAAATGGCTGGTCCATGTGATGAGTCTATGGTCACTTGTGTGTCTCTCTTTTCAACACTTGACCACATTCCTCTCATTTCTAGCTTCATTCCAGAGCCCTACATGAATAGATACACGGAGTTTCCCTGCAGCCCCAGTAACCTCACCAAGGAGCCCATGGAGGCCAAGCCCAGCCAGGCCCCCCCGCTCCAGGATGATGTGGACATGAGCGGTGGCTCCAGCGGAAATGAGGCCACTGAGAACTGCTCCACGGGGCGGGACTCACAGGGCAGTGACTGTGACGACAGCGGGAAGGAGCTGGGGATGCTGGTGGAGCCACCGGACGTCCACCAGAGGTTGGTCCCACCTCCAGCTAGGCGAGCAGGACAGTTGGTTTACTCAGAGAATTCTGTCCACTTCTGCTTCAGCTGCTTTCATTGTCTTTAAATGAGGAGTTGTTCAGAATTTTTGAAAATCGTATTAGCTGAGAAAAACTATAATTTACTTAGGGCAGTTTATAGGAAATGAACTTGGGCCCTTGTCTTGTGTTTTATCTGCCAGTTCCCCTTCCTGTCATCTGAAGATTTGGAGTTCCATTTGCATCTTACCTTGTATTATTTTTTACTTATCCTACTATAACATTATCTAGCCTATTATCACTGGTTGGATGGGGCAGGAAGTGGGGGGAACAAACAATTGCTCGATTATGTTTTTATTTCTTGTTCTTACAGTCCAAATGCCTTTAGCCTGATGATGGCCACGTCTGAACACAACCCCTCTACGAGTGGCTGCAGGTGAGGCCACTGAGAATCCCTTAGTGTCTTCTGAGAAATAAGAAGACGTTTTATTGGAGATCAGTTTTTTGGAAGTGACGTGATTTCTAAGTCCTGCTGAAACTCCTTAGTGTGCATGGCTATGTTGGTGTGACCGGGCACCTCTTGGCCTCTCAGACACCGGCTGTGTCCTTGTGGCTGTTCAGAGCCCCAGTGTTGCACCAGAACCTGCGGCTCCACCCAGCCCTACTCTAAGGAAACCTCACCTGAGTCTTGGGCATGTTCATCTGGACTGTTCCTCACCGTTTTTAGAGTAATTTGTGACATCCTTATGTCCTATGTCCATGGACATTTTCATGTCATCTCTGGAGCAAAACCCTGCTCCTAGTGCCCTTTGCCCTTACCTCAGAAACCTGATTCCCACCATCCCTCCTGCACCCTCTGCTCTAAGCAGGTCCGTCTTCATCAGCCAGTGCCCCTGTCCTACCTTCCCTCCATCTTTGTATCCTTGGATTTGAAGATCCTTCTCAAAAATCCCCATTCCTCTTTTCATAGAAAAGCACAGCTCATGGTTCACATTTATGTCCCAAGAAGAGTCACTTTGATGTCCTCTGTAACTCCATCACTCAGTCCTTTTCTGCCTGGGACAGGGAAGGAGGCACAGCTCAGTGCACACCCTGTTCCTCCAGATTGCAGGTCGACTAGCAGCCCTTCCTAGGCCAGACCCAGTGCTAACCCTTGAGAAGAGAGGCCAAGTGGAGGGATTTTTCCCTCATGCACTTGAGTTAAAGCAGTGATTCTTAACTGGAAACAGTCTATGTCCTGGCAAGAGACATTTGGCAGTGTCTGCAGACATTTTAACATTTTTGGTTGCTATAACTAGCAAGGGTGAGCCTGGGGATGCCGCTAAACATTCTGCAGAGCCCGCAAAGAACTCCCCAGACCAAAATGCCTGTGAGCCCTGGGGTTGAGAAACTGGGGACTAACATTTAATTCCTTCTTTCTTGAATTCTGCAGTAGTGACCAGTCTGCCAAAGCAAACACACACAAAGAATTGATAAAAACACTGAAGGAGCTGAAGGTCCACCTCCCCGCAGATAAGAAGGCCAAGGGGAAGGCCAGCACACTGGCAACTCTGAAGTATGCCCTGAAGAGTGTGAAGCAAGTGAAAGGTACGTCTGCCCCACACTTGCTCCAAACCTATAAAAATAAATTTTAAATTCTCCCAAACTGCAGCGTGGATTGTGTTCTTTCTAGAACTCATTCCCGAAATGGCAGAAGGAAATGCTTAAAATTTGATGAACCTGCCCTTGATTGGAAACCTCAACACACCAGAAGTTTTCTATTGCACTTGACTTTTAAAGGAAAAAGGAACTTTCTCTACTCTGGGCTGGGTTAGGTCATGATCAGGGAGTCCAGCATTGTTTAGGCTCTGGCAAGAGCATTGGTGTTTGAGACGATGACCCCAAGTCCAGGAAGGTCATTGCACACTGCTCATACCCCACAGCAGTGGCCTGATTGCGTGAGCAGTTCAGAGTGGAATTAAAGGAAAACATCCTTAGCATCTAACTGGGGTCTTATCCTACCTTTAAAATACAACACGAAGAGATACAAGAGGGGAGGTATTGTCAGATCTTATCCTCGAGAGATCATCGCTGTAGAACTGTGTGGTTCAGGACCTCTGGCAGCTTGTGTCCTGTTTATCTGGAAATGTGTGAGTTTCTGTCCTGCCGGTCACTTCAGCTGGAAAGGAGGCGGTGAGCAGACTCCACCTTCCACCACACATGGGCAACAGTGGGGCCTCCAAATGGTCAATCCTACTTCCTGTTTAGATATTCGGACTTTACTCGCAGATGGTAGAATAGGAAAGAACTTTTAGAGCCAGTCCATGGTGTGTAAGACTGAGCTTTTCTGTGAGAATGTGCACATGCACCTCTTCAAAGACGCAGTGGTGTTTTGTCACAGATGCCAAAAACAATCCACAACCTCAGGCCCATTAAATATGTTCCAGTAGAGTTCGGTCCTCCTCTAACTGCTGCTGCAGCTGGCCCACCCCCTAGAGGTACCCTGTCTCCTGGTCTCCGGTGGCTGCAGGGGCAGGCAGGAATGCCCCTCTGTGAAGTCAGCCCAGCACTGCCTAGTGGACCTAGAGCCTGGCTTCCAACACCCTGTCCCTAGAGTTGAGGCCGATACCTCTGCACTGGGGTCATCAAGGATGGTCACAAAGGCCTGAGAAGCCTTGCCTTTAGTCCACGAGCTTTAAGAGTGTTCATAGGGATGGCAGAAGTCTTGGAGGTGGCATTCGTGTCTGCATTCTCACCCCTACAGCACTGTGAGTGTGAGTACGTCCTTTTTCTTTACAGTGGAAACCACCAACCCCTAAACCTGAGGACTTCCTTAGCTGTTGAGAAGCTCAGAGACCATCAGCGGCAGCCAGGGCCCAGGAGGGAAGGAGGTGCCCTATGCAGCAGCTGTCCTCCCCTGCTGGTGGATGGGTGGGGCTCTCCCTCCCCACCCTGTGAGTGTGTGCCTTGGTTCACGCACTACACAGGTGCACTGAGATGCTGTGGGTCCTGCACATGAAAAACATAAAGGCTCGGCGCCTGTGGCTCAAGTGGCTAAGGCGCCAGCCACATACACCTAAGGTGGCGTGTTCAAATCCAGCCCAGGCTCTCCAAACAACAATGATGGCTGCAACCAAAAAAACAGCAGGGCATTGTGACAGGCGCCTGTGGTCCCAGCTACTTGGAAGGCTGAGGCAAGGAAACTCGCTTGAGCCCAGGAGTTGGAGGTTGCTGTGAGCTGTGATGCCACAGCACTCTACCCAGGGGGACAGCTTGAGGCTCTGTCTCAAAAAAAAAAACCACATTAAAAAAAGAAAACTCTGGCTCAGCACCCATAGTTCAGTGATTGGGGCACTGGCCACATACACTGGTGTTGGTGGGTTCAAACCCGTTGTGAGTCTGCTAAACAACCATGACAACTACAACAAATAACTGGGCATTGTGGCGGGCACCTGTAGTCTCAGGTACTTGGGAGGCTAAGGCAAGAGAATCAATTAAGCCCAAGAGTTTGGGGTTGCTGTGAGCTATGATGCCAAGGCACTCTACCAAGGGCGACATAATGAGACTGTCTCAAAAAAAAAAAAAAAAAACTCTGGAAGGCTGGATCTAGACAGCTTTGCTCTGTCATCACTGGTCATAGCCCCAAGACACAGCACCCAAAGAGGGCAAGGCTCATACTAGCAACGTAATGCACACAGTCATCGTATTTTTTAATGTCTGGGCAACTTTTCATTGGTAGAGAGCAGGTCATTGACACTCACACTGGGGTCCCTTGAGCCAGGGGTGTAACAGCTGCTGATCTGCTGTGTGCTGGGTTGTGCCGAGGTTTGAGGTGTCCTCTTCAGCTCCAAAGCCTCTGCAGGCTCTTCCCTAAGCCTGCTGTCCACTAAGCGAGGGTTATTGTGTTCAGAGCAGAGCATTGCTGCTGCTGGTCAGTGCTGGTCAGGCCCAGCAGTGCCCAGATGGAGTCTGGTGGCCATGGAGGGCACCGTGCTGGAGTGTGTGCCAGGGTGAGGGCCCTGCTCTGGAAGGAGGAGCTAGAGGGGAAAGGTCATCGCTGCTAGTCCAGCCGCTCTGCTTTAAAGTGATTATGTTGGTTTAGGAGTTTCATTCTTGGATCTTCAGTAACTTCAGAACTATAAACAGCTACCAGTGGAGACATTTTCTGTGCTTTCCAGCAGTTTATATCTTGATTTTAGAGCATGCTCAGAAATTTACTTGTGTCCGAGGCTTTGGAAGGTGGAGAAGTATAGCACAGACAAGACCCAGCTGGGGTGCAGAGGCTTCCGTGCTGGGCTGCAGGGGCACAGGCCTGGAGGGGCCTGGGTCAGAGCCTGGAATGCAACTTGGGTTTCATATGTCCAGGGCCTGAGGACAGGCAGCAGCCTGGAGCCAGAGTGCTTGCTCCTTTTTGGAGGGGGCTGCTGTAGCCTGTGAGCGTAGTCACCCCCAAATCCTGCAGATGCACCCAGGATGGTGTGCGGACTCAGATCAAGTGGCCCTCCACTTCATTTTCTAGTCTGAACAATTTCTTTGAAATGTCTTCCCTTGTGCTATTTGTATAAGCAGTGATTCTGCCTGGATGGGGGTGTCTAACAGGGCCCCCGTGCAGTCGGACACAGGGCTGTTGCCCAAAGGCCTGTGCAGACACATGGAAGCTGAATCAGAGCTGACGACACTCTGGAGAAGGTCAGGTCAGGCAGAACTCCATGGCCTTATCCTTAAAATAATGAGTTTAGGCTCGGTTCCTGTGGCTCAAGTGGCTAAGGGGCCAACCACATACACCTGAGGTGGCGGGTTCAAATCCAGCTCATGCCTGACAAACAACAGTGATGGCTGCAACCAAAAAATAGCCGGGCGTTGTGGTGGGCGCCTATGGTCCCAGCTACTTGGGAGGCTGAGGCAGGAGATTCACTTGAGCCCAGGAGTTGGAGGTTGCTGTGAGCTGTGATGCCACAGCACTCTACCCAGGAGGACAGCTTGAGGCTCTGTCTCAAAAAAAAAAAAAAAATGAGTTTGTCATTTAAAAAATAAATTTGTAATCATCCTCAAAGGCCGCCTGATTTTCAGGGGGGCAAAGTCAGATTTCTGTTCATGAGTTTGTCTTGCCTTCACATTCCCGGGTGTTCTGTGTCCTGGGAAGGCAGTGCCTGCATTCCTCGCTTTCATTTGGGAAGTACAGCCCCAAATATGCAAGAGCTGGTGACAGTTTCCAGCCCCTGCCTGGGTGTCTCCCACAGAGTGTAAACGTGGTTTCTCCTGCAGCTAATGAAGAGTATTACCAGCTGCTGATGTCCAGTGAGAGCCAGCCCTGTGGAGTGGATGTGCCCTGCTACACTGTGGGGGAGATGGAGAGCATGACCTCCGAGTACATCGGGAAGAACGTGGTGAGTGTTCTTTCATGTAGCTTGAGCCCCCCCGCCCCAGAGCGCTGGCAGGGCTGCTGTGTCCAATGGCGTCACTGTAGCAGGTAGGGTTTCAGGAGAGGAGTGCATACCCTTAAAGAAAAAATGTGAAGTCACTGGTTCTGGAAGCAGCAGTCGTGTTCTGGGCCTCTGTCTCCTTTCCGTGAGATTGTCCTTCCCATCCTGGCCATCTCTACTCAACAGCTCTCGGGAGCAGGAGCAAGCCCAGCACATCCGAGCTGGGGTATCTGGGTAAGGGACAGGCATGTGACAGTTAGTTCAAATGTCCAGGGATTCACTGTCCTGGGGGGGAGCAGGATTTTAGACTCCAAAGCTCATGCAATTTTAAGTTCCCCATAAAGGTGGGCCCCTTGGAAAGGGCATGGTCCGTACACACCCCTAGTGTCCCAAGTTCTTCGGTGTAAGGGCCCTCTGAGTCCAGAGGGCCAGCAGCAGGGAGAGAGCCAGAGGTGAGACCTCTAGCTCTTCAGGTGGTCCCAGGTCCCTGGGAGAGGTAGGGCTGACAGAGGTGGGTGTGATGGCCAGGTAAGTGGCGCTTTACCCCCTTCCACCTGCCAGTCACCCCAGCCTGGACAGCGTGTCCAAGATGGTGGGGTGAGTGGCACCTGCCAGGGAGTGGGAATGCCTGACAATTCTTCTGGCACTGGAACCGTGATGTGTTGTTTTGGGTAGTATCATGCTGGACCGATGTGCATAACAGGAAGCTAGAGCTGATCTAGCCAGGCCCAGGCAAAGGGCTTGAAGCTCCCCAGGCCCTCCAGGTGGCCGGCTCCCTGCAGCCTGCCCACCCAAGTCCCATGTCCTGCCCACACACATCCTACCACCGTCACTGTACTTGTATTTTCCTTCCAGGATATGTTTGCAGTGGCTGTGTCCCTGGTGACTGGGAAAATCCTGTACATCTCTGACCAAGTCGCATCCATATTTCACTGTAAAAGAGACGCCTTCAGTGACGCCAAGTTCGTGGAGTTCCTGGCGCCTCACGATGTCAGTGTGTTCCATAGCTTCACCACACCTTGCAAGCTGCCCTCGTGGAGTGTGTGTGGCAGGGCAGGTGAGGTCCCTGTGGCAGCACCTCGTCCACTTCCAGGGTGGACCAAGACTTCAGTGGGGGGCGGGGGCTGGGAGCTGGGCCTGATACCAGGTGCGGCCCTGATACCAGGTGCGGCCCTGCTCCCACCTCACCTCTGCCAGGCTGGAGCTAACGCCCACACTGTCAGAGGTGAAAGGTAAACAGTTGTCCCTCTCTTCAGAATAAATTCAGAGAGAAAAATAAAGTGTTTTCATAAATCTCAGAGAGGAAAAACCATTTCAGAAGATTTCAAGAAATACTAGGCATTTTAGAAATGACGTTCTGAAGATCTGGAATCTTGGCATGACTGTGGAACATGGGGAGGCTGGGGGTGTCTGGGGGCTCCCCTCACTGCCTGAGCAGCTGTGGTGAGTGGTGTGGCACATGCTGGGACAGCTTCCGGGGCTCTTCCTCTGAGCCGGAGGTGGCTCTGGGAAGGCAGACCCTGAGACCCCTGGGCAGACAGCACCAGCCTGCCAGGCACTGCAGGCTCAGTCTGTCCTCAGATGGGCATGGCTCCCCCAGGCTGCCTGGCCTGCCAGAGTATCCACCATCTGCTCCGCCTAGGTCTGGGCCTCTCACCTGGACCTGTCCCCCTGTTCTCAGCAACCAGGTGATGTCCTCCAGTCCCTGGAGCCAGCTATGGGCACGCCTGCCTCTGGGTTGCCCATGCCGTCCCAAGTGGAGGGTTAATGCTTTGGCCACCATGCTCGCTGGCCCCTCTCCTCTCCTCCTAGACACAGTGCTGTGCACTGAGCCCTGTGCATCCCTGTTCTGCTTCTGCCACTTGAGAGCAGACTTTGATTCTGTGAAGGTTTGAAGGCTGCACCATAACTGCCACCATGACCAGCTCAGGCTTTGCCCCTCTAGAAGTGTGCTAGGGGAGGCCTGGCCGCCTGAGGGCTCTCCACCGGCCCTGTAAGTGTTCAGTGGCCAGGGGAGCCAGGGAAAGGCTTCTTCTGAAGCATGTGTCCTGTGGCAACTGTCTGCCTGCCCCTCGCAGGCCCCTAAGTACCCAGAGCTGACAATGGCCTCAGGAGCCAGGAGAGATGAAAAGGGAAAGGCCAAGAACTGTCCAAGACAAACTTGGCCTCACTCCGCATCTTGACCAGCACCCACCCTGGCCACATCACCCAGAGTTATCTACAAATTTGTCTTTGGCTGCAGGTCAGCAATGCTTGCTCTTGTCAGAGGCTCCTCAGCCCTGGTCCCCCCTCTGATCTGGGGGCCCAGCACTCCTGATTGGGAAGTTCTCATGGGCTTGAGTACCCCTGCAATTGGCCCACTCCCCACTTGCCCTGTCCCCTTTCAGTCTGCAGTGGAGCCAGGGGAGAATGTCACCATCGCATCACCCTGCTGGCCTCACAGCTGTGCCCTTGCCCCTAGGCAGCCTGGGGGACATGTGTGCAGTTGGTTACGTTGCTCAGAAATGGGGGTGCCTGCACTTGGGTTCTCACACAGTGCTGTCTCCTTTCTACTGGGAGTTCCAGCCCAAGGACTGTCCGGTCAGATTGTCCAAGTTTTCAGGGCAAGTTGTAAGGGCCAGGTCGGGATTGGGCCACCACATGAAAGGGAAATTGTTCGTGTTGGGATTTACAGCATGAGCGGCTGGCACCATCTCCCCAGGGTAGTGCCAGCCAGACTTTTGTCTGAGTTAAAAAGGGCCAGGTGAATTCTCAGAGGCCTTTCAAAGCTGGTCACTTTACATCTGGTCATGTTATAATGATCTTTATAGCTGGTCATTTTCTGTAACTCATAATTTTTCCTTATTCCTTTTGAGTAAACTTTATATGAAAAATCTAAGATCTCTTTTATAACATTTTTTTGAAATTTTTCTTTTAAAAAAATTTATTCATTTCCTCTTTTTATGAGGTTGCCCAATTGATTTCATCTTTTTACTAGACATTTAAAAAAATTTTAAGTTAATATTTTACCAAAATATTGATGTAAGCTTTGAAATTCCCTGTTCAGTTATTTCTATTAGAATTGATTATCCCCAAAATGTGTAACTATAACCCTTATAGGGCCAATACGTAAATATTTTGCATGTCAGCCCGTGAGATTTACAGAGTTAAAATGTTAGTATGCCTGTAGCAGCATTATAAACCATTGCAAAAAATGAAACTCCTGGCCCTAAAATTTCAGCACTGTATAATTTGGTATGCATCACAGTTAGAAAATATGTTTAACTTTTACCAGATACGTAATAAAAGAATTCTAGTAACCTAGGGCTGGGCACAGTTCCTCATGTCTGTAAGCCTAGCACGCTGGGGGGCTGAGGCAAATTGCTTGAGCCTAAGAGTGTGAGGTTGCTGTGAGCTAGGACGCCACAGCACTCTACCTAGAGTGACAAAGTGAGATTGTCTCAAAAAAAAAAAA